ACACAGCTTTAGCCTATTTGGAAATAGTTTTGTGAGATGGTTTTGTTGAAAGGATATTTGTAAAATGGCTATTAGGTACAGTTGAGTTATACTGTAGATTAATTTTCATTCTTTCTTGTGAATAGTGTTTTTGAGTTTGAATGATTCATCTCTGTATGAGAGTACAGTATTGAATTTAATCATAAGTGCTGTCTTGAAGCTTATCTTTTCTATGCTCAGTGCTGTTTCTTTTACTAAACTGAATGCATCAAACTTCATTGCATATATATTTATGATTTTTACAGTTTCTTGTTGGATTGCTGTCAAAAAATGTGATGATTTTTTATACCTTTTCTTACTAAAGGGCTTGAGGAACTCTGGCTTGCTTTCAGAGTTCATTTGTATGGAGTATCATTTTCCATCCTTTCATTTTCAGAATGTGTGTATTTAGGATGGTGATGTGCTTCTTGCAGGCAAGATACAGTTTGGTCTTTATTTGATCCAAGTTGTAATTGTGTCTTTTAATTAAAAAATTAAATCCATTTACATATAAGATCATTATAGAAATGTATGTCTAAATGTCTGTCAATTTTTGCTGTTTTAAATATTTTTGTTTTGTTTGTTTACTCTTCTAATAGTATTTATTTCTTTCTGCATACCCTGAGTAGCATTTATATTCTCCTTCTGAGGATATCATGCCTTTAAGTCCCTCAAGCAAAGCTACTTGAGTAGTCCTGAATTCCTTTAATTTATGCTTATCATGGGAGACCTTTCATTGTCTTTTAACTATGAAAGATATCTTGGGAGGATACAGTAATCAAAGTTGACAGTTATTTTACATTTCTTCTTGACCTACATCATTCTTTGCTCTCTTGACCTTTAGTGTTTCTTCTGAGAAATCTGATGTGTTTCTGCAGAGTTTACTATTATAACTTAGTTGACATTTCTCTATTAAAACTTGCAATAATTTGGGAATTTTGAATATAACTTTCAGTGTATAGTTTCTTTTCTAGTTGTCTTTCTTTTGGGTTACAAATGTATTCGGTTCCTGAATGTCCATCTCAATTCTGAGTTTTTGGAAATTTTCTGATCTCTTTCAGTAGGGTAGCTTTTATGTGTCATTAACAAGTATATCTGCTCCTTACTACCAACTCCCAATTGTCTTATTTCTTTTTAGTTTGTACCAGGATCTTGTATGTTCTGTTTATAGATTCTCATATGATCTTTTTTTCTGAATTTTTGAAACTTAACACAAGAACTAATATGCTTTCCTCGTCTAGATTTAGTGGTGAGACATTCAACTGAATTGGATATTTAACTTACTGAATATTTTTCAAAGTAAGGGACAGAACATAAGGCTCTCACACGGAATTACTAGAACTTTCAACAAAATATTTTGAGACAGAGTTTCATTAAGCTGTAAAATTACAAGACTGGGATCAAACTCACAATCTTTCTGACCAGCTTCCTGAGTAATGGGATTATAGCCATGCACCACCAACCAGCTTTGATCTTCTCATTTCTAAAACTTTTGTTTTTTTTTCCTCAAAATTCTTATGGATATAAGAACATTTCTCAGGTGTTGTATTTTACTTCTAAATTGCTTACATTTTTAAAAATTTATCTTTTAGAATTCATTGTTTTGACACTAACTTTGTTAATTCATTGTCCAACACTGCATCAATTTGTGTACCAATAGATTTATGTATGGAAAGATTTTATACCTTGTTTTTTCATATTTTATTGTGCATGTGTGTGTGTGTGTGTGTGTGTGTGTGTGTGTGTGTGTCTGTGCCTGTGTAGTGTTTGTGTGTGCATGTTACCTGAATGTCCTGGCTGATGTATTAAGTACTATACAGAATTGGAGTGGTAATAATTGACATATTTGTCTTCTTCCTCCTTACTTTAGGACAAAAGATTACCGCTTTTAAACTTGATGTATTATTGGCAGTAGCTTTAGTATAAATGTCTTTATCTGACTGAGATAAGGTCCATCTATTCCTAGTTTTACAGGATTTTATTATGAAGAGCTATGGGAGTTTACTAAAAGCTTTTTGTGTGTCTACTAAGATGCTCCTATGATTTCTTTCCTCCCTTCTGTTCATGTGATACATTGCATTTACGGATTTGCAAATGCTGAACCATCCCTGCATTCATGGGACGAAGCCTACACAGTCCTAATGTGTGATTTGTATTCTGTTTCCCAGTACCTTAATGAGGGTCTTTCCACCTATGTTCATAAGTGGGATTGGCTTGCCGTTTTCCTTTTTGGTTGACACCTTGTCCAGATATGCAATCAAGGTAATGCTGACTTCCAGGAATGTGTTTGGCAGTGCTATTATCTCTTCTTTGCAGTTTCATTGGACAGACTGAAGAGTATTTGTATGAGGTATTCCCTAAAGTACTTGAATAACTAGTGGTAAATCCATCACTTCTTGGATTTTCTTAGCAGGTGGGTTTTTATTAGTGAGTTATTATCTTTGCCTGTTGTTGAGGTATTTCAAGATATTTTATGCTCTTGGTTCACGTTTCATGAATTATAAATATCTCAAAATCTATTAATTTCTTCTGGATTGTCTGATTTATTGAAAGATAAGTATTTTAAATAATGACCAATAATCCTCTCAATTTCCATGGCAATCGTGGTGATTTCACATTTCTTCTTGCACTGCTGTGGTCTTTCCTTTCATTTCTTTTATTGAGATTAGGGAAGCCAACACATGGAAGTAGCTTTAATGCAAATCAGATAATCAGTAAACAACATCCAGTGACAAAAACAGAGATTCAGAATTTCTGAGGACATAAAGAAAATGGGTCCATAAGGTAACAATAAAAAGGAAGATTACAAGGCTCTGCAATTTCACATTTCATTACTAGGAAATCTGGAATGTACTCAAATAGAACAAAAGTTACAGTTCCCAATTTGAACTCACAGTTGCTTATATATGATATTTGTAATAATCTTGACAAAGTAGAAAACATGATTTTTACAGCCATGAAACTTTTTAGTATCTAGAGTGCCATGTACTGAGGATGTGAGCGATTGAATGCCTGACTTATGAAGTGTTGATACTGAAGACACTGCATTTAGCTTGGGTACACAGAAGGAGTCAGGAGGAGGATGGTAGCTAGGAAACCACGGAGGCAGTGTTAGATCTGCTACAAGAACTGCACATCACATTAAGAAAAATGATTTCATCACCATGAATTGAGATAGATGACTCCAGAGACAATTTTAATCTAGTTTAGTTTCTTTATTATTTTTATTGTGTATGTAAATGGAAACTACCATGATCAGATAGATGCAAAGAATTGATTATAATGATAGCAAATTCTCTTGTAAAGTATTCTCCATAGTCCCTGCCTCTGTGTGAACCTAATGAGCAACTAAAATTTACATTTTCCAAAATTTAATATGAAATGTGATATTACAACCTAACACTTTGACTGTGCCTTAGATTGCTAGACTTATGTATCCTTCCTGAATGAAAAGTTATACCATTCAACATACTTCTCCCCACTTCCTGCCAATCAGGAATCCTGGTGATCACCATGTATATCTTTTTGGATACAATTCACTTCATTTTTCATTGAAAATGTGACTGGTATTATATAGTATTTATTTTTCTTCTTGCAGTGCTGAGCACCGAACCCAAAATCTTGTATAACTTAGGTAACCACCCTCCAGCTGAGGAACATCTTCAGGGCTTTAAAAATTTTATGCTAAATGCAGTCTCCTCAAATTGCCTAGCTATCTGGGAACTTGTGTATGTCCTGCCTCAGTTTGTACAGGATTTTGGATTAGGGAACTTTGCAACCAAGCTTGGCTAGTATTTGTACTTTTCATCTGAAAGTGATTTGGTTAACATTAGGTAAACATAATGAGCTTTGTCTCATGTAGTAATATAATCAATTACAGATTCTACCTTTGACAGAACAGATGAGAATTGGCATTGGGATCCTCTCAAGGAAGTCTCAGGCCAGCATGCCTGAGAGACACTGGGCATTGGAGGTGGGAGAGAGGGAAAGGCTGCCCCTCCACAGGGATGAGAGCCTCTTTCCTCCTGACTGGCAGGGACCTCATTCCTGCAGGACAGGTCTCCTTCTTCACACACTTCCTCATGAGCGCTCTCTGTGAAACCCCCACTATTCCATGTCTACTTTTCAATGTCTGTCAGGTGTGAATGGCAAAGCTTTGCTCCACAGGGAAATAGAAATCATATCACTTCACATTTTATAGCCTTTAGTGTTTATTTTTGACTCTGGCAAACAGCTAGAAGTTGCAAGGGGCAATTTCTGGTGCAGAAAGTGAAGGAAAATCCTGTTATATTTTAGAGGTAGACTTTCCATTGGTTTTTCCTGGGCAGTAGAAATCTCTCTATTTTCTGTCCTATCTAAAAAGTACAGACAAGCAGACGACTTCCATAAATGTGTCTGTGCTGACAGCATCAGTGGAACAAGTGTATGAATCATGGGAGAGGATTTCAGTGAGGATTAATGGCAATGAGTACAAGAAATAATGTAAAAATTTTAAACATTCATATTTTGATCATTTTTTGTAGTAACATATTAATTTCACAAGATTTTACATATTAAGCTTAATAAACTAGCCCAAATTACAATAACATTTATAATGGTCAGGTTTAACAGGGCACAAATATATATATATATTTTTTTCACACATATTAATTTTTTTCATATCTCACATTCCTAACATATTCTCAATACCTCACATTCTCATATCCTAAAATATTCTCATATCCTCATATTCTAAATCATTTCCACATTTTCCATTTAATTTCTCCAAGTTCTCAAAGTATTATGCTCACATTAATAAATCACCGAGGGTCATGATGACATGAGGAAGAAGCAAAAAGAACAAGAAAAGAACATTGACTAGAATACACAATGATAGTAAGAAATTTTAAAGATTTAAAACTTACAGATTGTTTCCAGAGTCATCAAAAGTATAAATTTTTCATGTGAAATCCACTAATAATCATAGGGAGGAAAAAATGTACCTACATTTTCAGCGAGCAGATGCTCTGAGGGAGTCTCATCAGGGCCCCCAGCACCTGCTTGTTCCTCAGGCTGTAGATCATGGGGTTGAGCAATGGGGTGAGGATAGTGTAGAAGACAGCTACAACCTTGTCCTCTGCTGGAGACCGGAGGGATTTGGGGCAGAGATAAGTGTAAGCACAGGGTACATAGTAGAAAGTCACCACAGTGAGGTGGGCACTGCAGGTGGAATAAGCCTTCCTCCTGCCTTCCTGTGAGCGCATGCGGTAGACAGCAAGGAGCACTTTCCCATAGGAAGCCAGGATGACCAAGAAAGGAAACAGGAGAAAGATGATGATGCTAAAGAAAACAGTGTACTCATAGACCCATGTGTCACCACAGGCCAGAGAAACCATGGCTGGGATCTCGCAGTAGAAATGATCGATGGCCCTGGACCTGCAGTAAGGGATACCAAGGACACAGACTGTGTGAGCACAGGAGTTGACAGCACCCATGGCCCAGGATCCCAGGATCATCAGCACACACACTCTTCTGTTCATGAGGATGGGGTAGTACAGAGGGAAGCAAATAGCCACGTAACGGTCATAGGCCATAGACATTAGGAGCAGTCCTTCTGAGCCAGCTAAGGTCACAAAGAAGAAAATCTGCACCCCGCACCCAATGAAGGAGATCGACTTGTTCCCACATAGGAAACCGGAAGCCATCTTGGGCACAGTGGTGCGGATATAAATGAGGTCCATGAGGGAGAGCTGACTGAGCAGGAAGTACATTGGTGTGTGGAGCTGGGCATCCAGGAGGATGAGCAGGACCATGCAGAGGTTTCCAGTCAGGGCCATCAGGAAGGTGGGGACTGTGAGAGTGAAGAGGAAAAGGCCAAGGCTGAATGGGGGGAACAGGCCCAGGAGGATGAAGTCGGTGGATGTCTGATTGTCATTTTCCATGGAGAATCAGTATGGTTCACCCTAAACACAGAAATATCAGTGAATAGGTATAGATCACTATCAAATTTGACAAATTCCATAGTATAATTACTTCATGATTTACTCCTGAATTGCACACATTTTGAAATGTGAGAGTGAATATCTTTTGATCATTAGTCCATTTCTACAAATTCGTAGTGTAACTAGTAAATGACTTATGCATAATTTCTATATATCTTCAATAAAGAATCAATTTTGAAAAAGTATGAATGAAAACATTCCTATTTTATGAAATCTCCATTTATTACCTAAAAATTTTGTAACATACTTCAGAGGTTATAGCACGATATTTGTAGTATGAGTTCATGAGATATGCAATATTTCGCTGCATCATTCTCATTCATAGCACAACCAAATCTCACTTATGTTCAATATTTATGCTAGAAAATATTACCTGTTTATTCAATTTGCTTTTCATTATTAATAAATGTTAATACTCCATGAATGTTTTCTTTCTTGAACAGTCTTTCAGATTTAAATCTATAATGTTACTCTGTAAACACCTATTTTAATAAAAATACTCCTCATTCTTTGATAGAGTTTGGCCAATATTCCCATATAAAACTTCCTTTATGTCTGGAATCACCCTAGGGTTTATTTCTATAGAAATCAAGTATCCATGCTAATTGCCAAGCACCTCTTGTATAAATTGTACTGATTCATACTTTTTAGTTTCAGTGTTGAGCATGATATTGTTCTCTCGATTCCGTCCTCCACAGAAGTTTCACATGCTCTGAATTTCTGTGTGAACACATCCCCATGGGACTGGGTCCCATGGAAAGATGCTCAGTACCTGTCATTGTTTGGAAGGTAGCTATGCTCATCACTCTACCACCCTGTCAACATTCGGGAAATGAAAATCACAATCGCAGTTAAACACAGTGTGCATTCAGTAGGAGAGCTTTCATTAAAGAATCAAATAAAACAATTTATATTTTGCTTAAGGTGTAGAGAAATTGTAAATCTTTCTGCATTTTTGTGAGGATTACAAATGGTTTGGATAGTATGGAAAGTGGTACACCTTGCCTCAGGGGTTCCAATCAGCAGCTATGTTGTTATACAGAATCCATGAAAAATATTAAAACACAGCTCTGTATCATGTCATGTGCATAAAGTTCAAACGCTGTTCCTGATGGAAAAGCAGCCTCAGGTATCCAGCATTTGCTTCAATAACATAAAACAACATTTTTCTTACATAAATTCTATTCATCTGCTCTTGTAGTCTTTGCTAGGTAAAATAAATTTGTAGAACTTATACGAAGCCCATTCCACATTTCCACTTACTTTGCTTTCCTAGTATTCCCCTCAAACTGTGGACTGAGGACATCAGCGGTGCTGACACCTAGAGCAGAGAAAGAGCAGGCAGCAGGAGCCTGAGGATGGAGGAGTCCATGGCTGAGAAGCAGCCGATGTTGGGGCAGGATTCTGTCCTGCCTGAGAGGACGGCTGGAGCTATGGAGCTCAGTGATGAGGTATATTGTTAAGCATATTGGTTAGAAATGATTTGAAGAACACAAGCTTGTGTAAATATGTGAATAAAAATGCGTTTAAACATTTGAATATCAGGTCGAGCTATTCTTGAAATATGTTGAGAGAATAATCATAAATTGGCTCCACAATATTATAATCAAAAATAAAATGAAATGAAAGATGCAAATGTATTGAAATAGAAATTAACTAAAGAAGTTAAATTGAGAAAAAGTGCACATTTTCTTTAAGCTGAAATAACATTGTTTTATTGTTTTCCATTTACTGTCTTTGGCATCTTCTGTGTACCTTTACTCACCTCTCAGGATGGATCTCTGCAAGATCCCACAACAGTCTAAATATTTTAACTAAAAAATGCTTTCAAGAAGGTGTCAATCTCAATTTATGTCCTACTCCCTGTGAATCAGCATTGCTACAGAAGGATTGAGTAGCGCAGAAACACCTGATCTCTGGTATAACTCTGGGGGCATATTCAGCATTGTGCCTGAAATTCTCCACGTGCTGCCCAGGCATGAAAGCGAACTCTGTGTTTTCCTCAACTGAAGTCATCGTTTAATTGCAGAAACCTATTTTACTTGCGCTTCTATTTAGAGTTGAAATGAGAAACTCTTGAAGGAGTTTTTTAGGATTGTAGTACTAATAAAATACTTAGATTTTTTCCATGTAACAGCCTTGTCAGAGAAGGAATAAGCGAACACAGACATTTGACTCATCGGTGCCCAGAGAGGAACCAAGAGAAACAGCTGGGAACCTCGGAGTGGCGCCCCCGAGTGTCTGCACCGTGCAGTTTCCGCTGCAACACAGGCTCTCCCACTCTGCTTCCTGTCAACAGAGGATTCTGAGAGACAGGAATTTACACATAATGCTGCTTTCAATGCATCTATTCTGATCGTTTTCAGAGGTGGAGCAAGCTAAATTCACCAAAAGTTCTCCTAAATTTTATTTGCGGTTCGTCTTCTAAGAAATCCTAGATTCAACTTTTAAAAGCCTCTAAAACGAGTGTCCAACACTTAAATACTAATAAACAGATAAATGTCTCAGGTTCATGACGCAGTCTGCCGGCTTCCTCAGCAATCTGCATCTGTTCTTTCTTCTCTCACTGCCTGAAGTACCCGAACGCCCCCGAGTGGCCATGCACTGACCCTCCCGCCGGTGCAGGGCTGAGCTCTGACCCTGACAAGGAAGTGGGTCCTCCTGACAGGGATTCTGTGTCATCGCTGTGGAAAGCCACCGCAGTCCTTACGCACACCTGGCCATACCTGCGTCTGCCTGTCCACACCTCTAGGAGATGTTCTCCACTGACCTGGGTGCACATGAATTCACCACACTGTGAGGGGCGCTCTGTGGACTCTCAGGTGACACAGGGGAGCCGGCGAGGAGAGGAGAGTTCTGCCAGTGTGTGGGGAGCTCTCCTAGGTCCCCATCTCTGCGAGCATTTCCACAGCAGATGCACTGAACAACAAAGACTGCACAGGGGCCGAGATTATTCTGCTCACCTGGGAAGAAAGGGCTTCACTACACGATGACATAATATTTATTTTCAATATCTTCCATGGTATAATGAACAATTTGGGGGACATAAAGAAGCCCATAGAATCTGGTGATATTTTGTCCATCTGAGTGTCCCTGACTTATATGCCTCCCCGAAGGTCCCCAGTGACACAGCAGCATTAATCCATAAGCAGGTAGTAGGAGGAAGACACCATCGATGTGCAGAACCCACTGCATGGAGCTCTTTGGAATGAAATTGGTCTCATTGTCCTACAATGCATGAGGTCACTACCTAAAGTTTAGATTCTAGATCTTTCCATTGACATTTAAGAAAGGTAGACCCTGGTGGGAATGTGACACTGAGTATTCCAGAAGTCAACCTGGAGGAAGGCAGCTGCCTGTGAGGAGACACTGAGTGCACACTCGGTGGAGACCTGGTGTGAGACAGCGCTGCACAGGAACCGGGAGTGTAACGACTTCATCATGATCACCATCTTCCCTTTGGGATAGTCAGCACTGTGAGAATAAATACAGCCGTGCTTCTCCAATGGTGTAGAACTCAAGTTGTTTTATAAACTATGTGGGCTTATATCTCAATAAAGCATTTTCATGTCTCTAAAGTAGATATTAGTACTATTATTTTTCTGAAATGTTGTCCTCTGCACAGATATGAGATAAGTGTATTGCAAAATTAGAAATATAAAGCTAGAAATGGATATGAACACAAATTCACACAGCTACTCTTGATGTGGTTTCTGGAATCTTTTCCAAAATGTGTTTTGTATTATAAAAATTGTGGATTTCTTTATTTAACCAATCTCAAGTTTTTAAAATAGGAAATACTCTTTCACATTTTTATATGGAAATGATCGTGATAATTTCCAGATACTTGAGTGCAATAAAATGCTCTCGTAGAAGATAAAAGAGAAAGTAGGAGGTAGTATTAAGTTGACAAATGCTCAGATTCACTCACCACTCTTGAGAAAAACAACAAGGAACACAAGCAAAAAGCAAAACAAAATAGATTGTAAGAAGACAAAATTCAGCCTCTACTATGAGTTTGAGTTTAGAGTAGAATTTACCTTTCTGTGTCCTTGAGCACACAGACAGCACATGCAGTACATTGTGCTCTCCTGGCTTCCACGCTGTCCTACGGCACAGAGCACAGGCTCCTTACTGGATCCAAACTCAGTTTCTGTTGTCTGCACCTCATACCACTTCTTCTGTGTTCAGTGGTATAAAAAATACACCACCTTATACTGAAATTCAACTTCCAGTCTGTTTCTGAAATTAAGTTTTCACAAGCGTATTCCAGAATTTCTCCTCCCAATTAGTAACCAAAGAGATAGGTGGCATTATTACCTCTTACTACCTCCACACATTGGAAAACTCCCTGACTTGATTACCTGTTGTGCTGCTGTGTGTTGGAGTTCCTGGACAAAATACCCAACACCCACTGCTTAGAAGATCAGTTTAGTTCAGCTCCTGCTTTTATGAGGGGCTGGTATCAATGCAGGAGCTGTGTAGCAGAAGGGCCAGGAGAAACCACCTGCTCAGTCCACAGTGGTCAGAAGGCTGAGAGGCAGGAACCTGAGAAGGAGGCGCAGCCTCAAGGTCTCCCCAACAGTGTCCACCTGAGCCGAACGCTAGGCCTCAGCAGCACCTCCAGCCTGGAACTTCACTGGATGAATCCTAAGGTAGGTGATCACACCCAAGACAGTCAGGCTTCAGAGCTTCAGGACCGAATCCAGTGGACAATGAGCCCACAGTCACAGGTGCACAAAGTCATGCTTCCCAGTGGACCTTTTCACTATTCTCCTGTCAAATGCCTCTCATTCCCCACCTGGCATTACAGAGCCCTCCCGGAGACTGGGAAGAAACCAGCACCTTTAATAATGGAGCTGAGGAGTGATTCTCAGGACAGCCCTATCCCTGGGGAAGGTCCACTGAGACTGACAGGAGGGCCAGTCACCGAGCACACT